AGCAAAACTCCCTAGACTCATGGAGTATGTGTTCACTGGAGACAGACAACATACAGTGAACATAATAAATAAATATATAGTCTGTTAGAAAATGGTAAATGTGAAAAAAATAGAACCTGGCAGGGGGAACTAGGAGTGCCAATGGAAGGCAGCACTTTAGATGAGATAATTAGAATAGACCTCACTGCAAAAGTGACTTTGAGCAAAGACATAAAGGAAGTGACAGCAAGCCATGCAGAAGGCTGGGGGCACCAGTATTTCAGGCAGAGGAACAGCCAGTGAAACACGGACACCACGATGCCTTTGCACACATTAGGAAAGGCGCCCCATCACCACCCCCAAATATTATTCACTACGTTAGTTTATCTAAATAGGAACTTGTAATTATCATCTTAATAGATATGAGGCAACTCAAACATTCAAGATCCATTCCTGACATGGTAAAAAATATTAAGAAACAGCAATCAATGGCTATTTTCTTAGACATGATTTATTAGGGAAACACTGGATGCACAAAATGCATTATATCCAGGTGTGTGAGGGTGCTTCCGGAAGAGATTAGCATGTGAATCAGCACGCTAAGTGAAGAAGATCACCTTCACCAATGCAGGTGGGCATCACCGGCCTGAATAGAAAAAAAAAAAAAAGGGAAAGAAGAGTGAATTTGCTCCTTGTTTGACCAGGGGCATCTGTCTTCTCCTGCCCTTGGACACCAGTGTTCTGGTTCTTGGAACTTCAGACTTAGACGAGGACTTACACAATTGGCTTAAGTTGTGGTTCTCCAGCTCAAGGATGGCAGATCGTGGGACCTCTGGGCTTCCATAATCACAGAGCCAGTTCCTATGGTAAATACATACATATCTATCCCACCAGTTCTGTTTCTCTGGCAAACCCTAACACACCCCCAGCTGTTCAAGTCATCCCTGATTGAGGCTGCAGTCATTATATAGTTAAAACAAACCATTCCCACTATGCCCTGTGGAAATTCCTGACCCATGGAATCCATGGGCATACTAAAATGGGTATCAACCTGTGCTCCCACCACCCCCAAAAGGGCCGTCTATTTGGGGGAAAAAGTGCATTTAGTTCCACCAACAAGAGAGGGCGCTCTTGAACTAAACCTGGTGAAGCGCCCAAACTCCTGCCTCCTTTGCAATTTCCGAAACTGGAAAATAAAACGTTTCAAAACAGACGGAAAATGACTACTTCTGGAGTACACCTAGAGTTAGAAAGGAAACAAGAAGAAAATGACAGACCTAAGATTATAAAAAGAAAATTAAAAATGAAAATCATATTTTTAAAAAACCTAACCTTTCATGAAAACTAACACACAACACCCCAACCTAACTTAAATAACCTTCAACAGTCATTCGGCAACATGAGAAAATACTGTGAATCAGAAAAATAACCCAGAACACAAACGGACAAGGAACAAAAAGATTAAGGCCGGCGCGGTGGCTCACGCCTGTAATCCTAGCACTTTGGGAGGCCGAGGCGGGAGGATTGTTTGAGCTCAGGAGTTCGAGACCAGCCTGAGCAAGAGCGAGACCCCCGTCTCTACTAAAAATAGAAAGAAATTAATCGGACAACTAAAAATATATACAAAAAACTAGCCGGGCATGGTGGCGCATGCCTGTAGTCCCAGCTACTCGGGAGGCTGAGGCAGAAGGATCGCTTGAGCCCAGGAGTTTGAGGTTGCTGTGAGCTAGGCTGACGCCACGGCACTCACTTTAGCCTGGACAAAGGAGTGAGACTTTGTCTCAAAAAAAAAGAAAAAAAAAAAAAAAGTTTGTCAAATCAGGAGACATTGAAGAAAAAAAATCACCTCAGGGGGAAGAAAAGGACTAAAATATAAGATGTCCAAAGGGGAAGAGATTTTACTTACAATATAATAACTGATATTGGGGAAAGGAATTAAAACAGCCAAGAAAATAAAAATAAAATCAAGAAAGCAGGAAGAAGGGGCAGACACAGAGGCAGATGCCGGTCCCTGAGGAAGAATGAAACAGTGGCGCGGATGCGCTGTGCAAATCTAGAATTGGAAATGAAGCGTGGGTCTCCGCATGCACTGGGCCTTCCAGGAACCCAGGCCAGTGCACAGGGAAGGGTCAACTCCGAGGCACGTCTCAGAAAGAGAAAATCCTCCGGGCATGAGGCAAAAGCGACATGAGAAAAGATACAAGTATACAGGTGACGATTGCAACGAAAACATCACTGGACACCGGAAGTCATTTAACAAGTTAGGAGTTTTGTTTTATCGTTTTTAAGAGCTGCTCCGGGTTCCCCGCGGCAAAAGGGCCGGAGAGCGCCCGCGGGTCTCGAACCGCCCTGACGGTGCAAAGAGGTTTACAAGACGCTGGCGAAGGAACCGCTGAGCTAAAGCCGGCCCGGCGGGGTGGCCCGGGTTACACTGTTTTGACTGGTGAGGAGGACGCGCGTCACGGGCTGTGAGTCAGAGCGCGAGGGGTGCAGAGTGACTCAGCGTCCCCGGCTGTCCCGGCGACCGCAGAGCGCCCGTCTGGGGACACGGCGGTGGCAAGGACGCGGCCGAGCTCTCCTGCAGCGGTGTCCCTGCTGCTTCTCGGCGGCCACGGGGTCCACAGAGGGCCGCCCCTGCAGCGCCCCCGGCAGCCACAGGGGGTCACTGTGATCAATCAGCTTTCAGAGGCGTGGAAGGTGCGAATTGCATTTCAGACCTTTCTCGTGTTGGAACCTCGCTGCTAGCCCAGATGAACCTCTCCATACTGCTGACAAGACTGATCAAGAAAAAATGCAGGCTGGGAGCGGTGGCTCACGCCTGTAATCCTAGCACTGGGAGGCCGAGGCGGGCGGATTGTTTGAGCTCAGGAGTTCGAGACCAGCCTGAGCAAGAGCGAGACCCCGTCTCTACTAAAAATAGAAAGAAATTAATCGGACAACTAAAAATATATACAAAAAACTAGCCGGGCATGGTGGCGCATGCCTGTAGTCCCAGCTACTCGGGAGGCTGAGGCAGAAGGATCGCTTGAGCCCAGGAGTTTGAGGTTGCTGTGAGCTAGGCTGACGCCACAGCACTCTAGCCCGGGCAACAGAGTGAGACTCTGTCTCAAAAAAAAAAGAAAAAGAAAAAGAAAAAATGCAAACACAAATTGAAAGAGAGGAAAAAAAATCACTTTATAAAACTGGGTTAAGTACAGTAAGGGAAAACTAAAGTACAGAGACCACTGTTCTTATCCACTGGGATGGAGGGGGCCATTTCTTATACCTTAAGCGAGGTAAACTATACTACAGGGTGTTAAGGGCTCCCATCTCCTACTGTACTCATCTGGGTAGCAAAGTCTCTCTTGAAATGCAGAGAACATATTCCAAGTAAATACATCCATTAGTTCGTTTATTCAAAAATCACATTTGGTGCTCTGTGCCAGCCTCCATCTCGATGCCTGGCACAGAGACGAAAAGGATTTCAGAGGACAAAAATCAAAGGACTGGAGAGGACGGAAGCAGCTAATGACAAGGTCAGGAGAGAAGCAGCTATTTGAGAGCGAGCAGAGGCCTTCCACCTGGTGTCGTGAAAAAGATGGCAGCCATGCGAGCCTTGATGGAATTAACAGGCCTCACGGTCCAAGACAGGCACCTACACGCCTTCAGTCACTCGCCTGCTTCCTCGGTTTGCTAGTTGGATTGGAAAACCTTGAAGGAAACTTGAGTGGATACTGGGATGCTCTGTGCACATCCTCTCTTCTGGGGCAATGCAGCCAGCTCACCACTGCCTTCCAAACTGGATACTGCCTTTAGCTTCAGGAAACTGCCTTAATTATGATCAGGGGGCAGCAGGCCGAGGACTGGCTGATAGGGGAGCACAAAGGCTGGGCCCTCTACCTTGTTTGGGACAACTATGAGGTGCCATCCTAGAGCTCCCTTTTGAAACACTGAGGCCTCAGTTGCAACAATGTGCTGAGTCACCTGATCCTGTCTTTCTCAACTCGATACAGGTGTATTTTCTAAGAGCGCTCCCCAGTACACCAACACTCCGCTTTCTCTCTCAGTGCCTTTCCAGGGAACCTAATCTCAGATAAAAATTGAAAGGACCTTTTTAGCATTCTCCCTTAGAGCCCAACCAAATTGTTCTTCACTTTTTTAGAGGTCACGAATCCCTTTGACAATACGATGAAAGCTAAGGACTCTTTTCTCAAAAAAAAATACACATAGACACTTAATGTAAAAGTTCACATACCGTTTTAGAGAGGTTGTCCACCCCTCACAACCCCGCCTCCTCTTTACCGCCCAGCCCGGATTTCACCACCCATGAAAAACCTCCAGCAGCTCTTTGCACATAATCACAAGATTAGCCACCATTTACTGAGCGCTTCCTCTCTAAGACCCTGTGCTAAGTGCTTTATCTTCACAGCGCCTTTGATCGTGACACAACACGGCAGGGTCGTTACTAACACCTTCCTTTCAGAGGTTTAACGGCTTGCCCCAAGTAACACAGCTAATAAGTAACAGATACTGGATTAAAACCCCAATGTGTCTGTAAAGCTTGCGCTTTGAATAAATGACCAAAAAAAGAAGATCTTTGAAGGTCACCTAATGGTTAGGTGTCAAGAGTTGGGATTTAAACTCAGGTCTAACCCCAGATCTGCTGCCCTTCACGTTTAACGTGTCGCGTCGCCCTTGAGAAGGAAAGAAATTGATTTTGTCCCATCTCTGCCCTTTGCGGTTCCTTTGTTATCTGCGTTTGTTTCTGCAACGATTACCAAAACATTTTTGTGCTGCCTTGATTTGGAGAACTAGAGCACATCTCCGCCCACGGAGGGGCGGCACCTTGCCGTACAACGCGGCGGCGCCGTGCGTGCCCACCCAAAGAGGGGCGGTGCGTTTAGACTGTCGTACAACATGGCGGCGCTCTCCGCTCGCCGCTGTTTCTGACGCAACTTCCTGTCCTGCGCAGTCATGTTTGACCTTTGAACTCGCAAGTGCTTTCTTTTTCCTCTTCCGGAATCGCTGTCTGCAGGTATGGGAGCTAGTTTTTTTTCCTCTTCTTTAGTCTGTTTACAATCGGCCGCCATCCGAGATGTTGCAGGAGCCGAGAGCTGTTAGAACAGTCCCCTGAGCTAGCGTAGGGGTAAGAGGAGCAAGAGGGAGGCTGGCGGTGAGCACGTTCCCTTCTTTTAGCTTCAGAAACTCCTCGATCCTGGCTGCTCCTCCGAAGCCGTAAGTATCGGAGCTCACCACCCCGGGCTTTGCCGCCTTCGGAATGCAGCGTTTGGAGACAGAAATGAGTTGTGGTTTGGCTGGTTGAGATTAGGAAATCGCCGAACATTTTCACCTTTTACGCCTACGTTTTATCGCCACGCCGGTGGATGTCCTAGGCTTCGGGAGTGCCGGCAGGTTCGGGTGGCGGTTTCACTGTTGGCTTCTGTTTCCAAGGCCCATAGCAAGGAAGAGAAAAACGCGTTTGGGGGAGTTTTCTTTCCATCTTGGTTTTGGAGGCGGCAGATGCGATAGTGGCTTCCTGGGTCAGTCGCACCGGCCTTAACGTGTCCGTTTTGACGTCTGATAGTTCTCAGTGTAATATTAGGAGCTCGTGACAACAATGCAGGCTGTTTCAGGTAACAAAATGCTGTTAGGAAACATTGTTATGAGATGAAGTGGTTACAAGGTTTAGAGTGAAAGATTAGATTGGTTCAGGTCTTGGTTGTGTTTTATGTTACTTTCGGTAGTTCACTTAAAAACGAAGTCGCTTCCCAGTAACGCAGTTGTAAAAAAAAAAAAAAAAAAAACGAAGTCGCTTATGTGCATCTCTCTATATAATCGGTTTGCTAAATAACATCGAGTATTGTTTCCAGTTGATAAGTGGGGGAAAAACTTTGTTTCGAAGACTTTGTTAATTCAAAGACTTTGTTTCAATAACAGAGTTAGTACTAAAAGGTACTTTCTTTGACTCACATGCTGCTTTGGGGCAAGAAAACTCTGATCCTCTACGTGCCAGGCACTGTGTTGGGTTGGAGAGCTTATGTCGTTTAATCCTAAGGACAGCTGCATAAACTAGTCAAAAAATCCCATTTTAAAGATAAGGAAGCTTTTGTGCTGTGTATTCCCAGTAACTGGCCTTCAGAGGATTCAACTTCAGAGCTCACTTCTTGTGTTTTCTTTAAAGCAGTGTTTATCCGAATTTCCTGGCGTTGGCACTTCATGTGGACGCCACCCCGGACAAAACCAGACTGAGTAAAGAATCTGGTAATTGATTTTAAGGCAGTGCCACACTTGGTTACCATCAGGAAAACTAACAATTCGTTGCCTTTTATTGTCAGGCACTTGTAAATACAAGTAGTTGTAAGATGTGGAATCCTTTAAGACACACCTTAATGTAAGGGGTGTTATATATAAAAATGTGTATGTGGATGATGTATGGATTCCATGATACTGTTTTATTTTGAGGTTTGGATTATTTTTACAATGGAAAAAATTGATGTTATTCCGTTCTTAATTTAGGCGCTCAGAATGGTCCAGCGTTTGACATACCGTCGTAGGCTTTCCTACAATACAGCCTCCAACAAAACTAGGCTGTAAGTATTTCTAGAATTTAAAATACATACTGACCTTTGTTCATTCACTCGTGCAAAATGCTGACCTGTTGCCTGTTATCTTACTTCCTAGGTCCCGAACCCCTGGTAATAGAATTGTTTACCTTTACACCAAGAAGGTTGGGAAAGCACCAAAATCTGCATGTGGCGTGTGCCCGGGCAGACTTCGAGGGGTGAGTGTGCCTTTTGCTGTGAGCAACGGAACAAAGCTTGCACTTTCGAGCATTAATCCCTTGATGCAGGAATGGTCACCACTAAGAGGGTTGAGAATCACTAAACATCCATGATCCAGATCTGCCGAGAACAGAGACCCCCCTTTTAAATCTGAGAAATGCAGTGGAATGCCTTTCACAGCCTAGTTTAACGTTTGCGCTCAGCCCCGATCAAAATCTACGAAATTCTGTTTGTTAAAGCATCACAAAATAAACTCTATGTTTTCCTTATGCAGGTTCGTGCTGTGAGACCCAAAGTTCTCATGAGGTTGTCTAAAACAAAAAAACACGTCAGCAGGGCCTATGGTGGTTCCATGTGTGCTAAGTGTGTTCGTGACAGGTAAGTAAAATGGTTAAGTGGGCTTTCTTAAGCAAATGAGTGTGTTTGTGTCTGTTTGGCTGCATACTAATCATTGTTAGAAGATTGGTGAAAAAATAACTCATTTTAAACCAAAGTTGCATGTTATAGAATTTTTCCTTCAAAAAAGTAATTGGTGCTGTGCAAATCAATAAATGATATCCAGATGAATACAGTCGGAATTCGGGGGCATCTTTATGGCTGGATGTAGAAATTATAAGGAACTTGGTTTTGTTGTGGGGGCAGGTTCTCAGCACGCCTCTTCTGTATTGTTTTTTACTGGAGGTTTTAGAAATGTTACAATGTTCTAAGGCAAAGGCAAATAATATCCTTATGTCCTGGACCCTAATGAAGAAATTAAAATAAAGCTATCATAAGTGGCAAAGTGGTTTGTGGGGATGATTTTATGGTTTATTGTGACTGAGAAGAAGAGGGCAGGTACTATTGGCATGAAATCGAAGAGTTATCCCACTTTAAATGTCAGTGCGGGGAGACCGTAGCCTGAAAGGGTCCATCTGTAATCTGTACTTAAGAATTTCATGGGCTCACGCCTGTAATCCCAGCTCTCTGGGAGGCCGAGGCAGGCGGATTGTTTGAGCTCAGGGGTTCGAGACCAGCCTGAGCAAGAGCGAGACCCCATCTCTACTAAAAATAGAAAGAAATTAATTGGAAAAACTAAAAATATATAGAAA